CAAGCAAAGGTCAAAGGGGAAGCCAGATGGACTGAACAACGGTTGTTCGTAACTTTTAACAATTGCAGCAATTCGCTTAACAAATGCAGTAAGAAAAGAGGTAAAACGGGGTGCAAAACTCCACTTCTCGTTCAGCAGTGTCAATTTTGTGCTCAGTTGTGGTTGTAAGCTGAGGACTGTCTATATACGTTGCATTTTGAAACGTAGCTCTTGAGCTACAGAATCTCGATTTTTGCGCTTCCGCAGGGCTCCGCGTCGCATTGAGATTTGCTTCCCCGTATATTAATTAATACAATTAATTCCAAGCAAGGTGTCAACGCTGCTAACATCGGATGTTTTTGCATTGACAACAGATGGCGATACGGCCATTTTCTTCTTCTTGCTTTTAGAGTCAGATAATGCTGGGAGGTGGGGGGGAAATGTGCACGAGAATCTAGCTAGACATAACAACACTGAACCTAGTGTGGGAACCAAGGTTATTGAAATAAGAGATGATAAGAATTGGTGGGCTGGAGAGCTGGAGGGGAAGCCCGCGTTTCAAACTAATTGGGGAATGTGATTTATGACTGTTAACTGGAGGAGGGAATTGTGCTTTGATAGTAGGTGCCAGTCTAAAACCTGACTTATCCCCCCCTTGCAATTCTTCCAGGGACGACACATGGCCAGAGACGACTGGACGCTGTGCCCCCGTTGCGAGTTTCCTGCGCTCTATTCCGATTTCAAAAAGTAAGTTGTCATCTTTTTAAAATTCTCAGATGACTTTACCTCCGAAGGATATTCTCCATTGCAGCGGCCTGCAACAAAATTCTGATTTCTACCCAGTCAAAATCAATCCCGCTTATTTCTCTGTGGCTGTTGACCCTCTGCCGTTCTCCTTTTCACATACTTTTTTTTTATCGCTTTCCTCTGCCTAAATCATTTTATTTCGGCTAACAGCGGCCAAAGAGAAGTTTGTTGCTGCCTTTTGTGTTTGGAGGACCATGATCAATCTTCGCCAGAAGCTCCATGGCAAAAAATGCCCCATTGGTTGTATTAGGACTGATCTGACAGCATATATATATACAGCTGTGTTTGAGATTTTTTTAATTAGGTCATGGTTGATTGTTGTTGTTAGTTGCGAAGTCGTGTCTGACCCATCGCAACCCCATGGACAATGTTCCTCCAGGCCTTCCTGTCCTCTACCATCTTCTGGAATCCATTGAAGCTCACGCCTACTGCTTCAGTGACTCCATCTTTTAATTTCTTGGCTGCTGCCCCCATCTGCGGTGATTTTGATTAGGATCACATAATAAAATAATTTCCAGCTAGGAAATATCACTCTTGACTTTAAACTAGTTTGCCCAGGCAAATAACCATGTAGTCCTCTTACATTTTGCTGGAACATTATTTTACTTGAGTCTCTGGGATAATGTCTGCTACCCGCTGAAAAATAATACTTTTAGAGATAGTGTATATTTGCAGATAAATTTAACTGGAAAAAGCCTTCTTTCAGACCTCAATCTACTACACTTTTTAAGATGTTGAAATGAGCAAACCTTTGCTATACTTTTTTTCACAAATGACGTAACGATCAGAAATAAACCTAGAGTTTGTGTGTGTGTGTACATACACACACACATAGAGAGATGTCTGATCTTGTCTGTGAATCTCTCAGGACATTTCTAATGTTGCTTTAGACAGTCCACTACCCAAATTATTGTACGACCTGCCAAAATATTATATGGTAGGTCAAATTAGTGACGAAGTACATTAGATTCTCCTTCTGTTTGACTTTCTGCCAGTCCTCCCTCTATATTTGGAAGATGTCTAGTTTATTGGAACATGGATGTTAATATTTTGGGACACGTAGCCTCTGTTTTTTGTGATTAAAAATAATGCACTGTAGACCTGCACGCTGCCAATATTATTCCTTTCGATCAACTGCTTGGAGAAACATCAAACATCATCCATTTGAAGGTGTTGAAGCGAATCACTGATGGAGAGACCGAGTAAAAGCAAAGACACTAATATGATGTTTTGCAACCTGTAGATGATGCTCAGTATGGAAGGTTGTGAATGTGTGTTCTTTTCAATAGTTTGTTGCAGAGCGAAAGCGTGTGTCCCATGTGTTCGGAAAAAGTCGATGCCACCGGCCTAAAAAGAACAGCGGATTGCACACCGTACCTCAAGTCTGAAGTAGAGCAGTAATTTTGATCAAGTTAAGTGGCTCAGTCTTCGTTTTCATGTTTAAAATGAATGTTTTTAAATGTTTTAATGTTTAAAACTCAAGAATATTAAAGAACGTTCATTTGTTTACGACTAAAATAGTTTAACTGGCCTACTCGCTCGTGCGCCCGCATCTCCTTACAAGTACCCCCGAATTTGCTTCTTCCCCGCAACAGAGCTGCTGTCGCTTGCTTTCCACGATGCGTTGTGTACGTGGAAGGACATGGCTTGTGTGCTGGGCCATTGATTTTCCTCTGCTTGACATCTGCAAAGGGGGGGGGGGGCTTGGGCCAATGCATTGGTACTGATGGAGTATTGATATACTGGCCTTTGAGTATTGATGCCAACACCAAGACTTGGCATTTTAGACTACTGTTCTACATGGGGCCACCCTCGAAAAGCATTCCAGTTGGATCAAAAGGCAGCGGGCCGTGTGGTTTTGTGCAGACCTCAGTGTGCACATGTGTTGCCTCTCCTGCGGGAGCTGCATTGGATAATAATTAATAATAATAATAATAATAATAATAATAATAATAATAATAATAATAATAATAATAATTGATGATGATGATGATGATGATGCTACAAAAAACTGCACTACTCGGAACATCTTACATTTTAAGGAGGTACCTGGTTGACACCTAGGATGCTGGCAGAAACCCGTGTCAACCATCAGCGCCAGTCAATTCGAATGTTCAGTTGATTGAGGTTCACGGCTAATGAATAATAATAATAAAGTTGGAAAGGACCTTGGGGGTCATCTAGTCCAACCCCCTGCTCAGGCAGGAAACCATATACCATTTCAGACAAATGGCTGTCCAGTCTCTTCTTAAAAACTTCCAGTGTTGGAGCATTCACCGCTTCTGGAGGCAGGCTGTTCCACTGGTTAATTGTTCTTACTGTCAGGAAGTTTCTCCTTCGTTCTAGGATGCTTCTCTCTTTGGTTAGTTTCCACCTGTCGCTTCTTGTCCTGCCTTCAGGCGCTTTGGAGAATAGCTTGACTCCCTCTTCTTTGGGGCAGCCCCTGAGATACTGGAACACTGCTATCACATCACCCCTCATCCTTGATTGATGATTGCTTCCGGGTGCAATTCAAGGTATGGGCTGTCACCTTATCCGACGGACCATCTGTTGCTGGCCACATCCACCCGGCCCACTAGAGCAGGGAGGCAAGGAATGTTGCGGGTCCCATCCCCTAAGGACGCACATCTGGCAGGACCCAGCAGAAGGGCCTTCTGTGTGGTGGCTCCTTCCCTTTGAAATATCATCCCTTCAGAAATTAAACCGACAATCTTTCATAACGCCCTGAAGAGGTGTTTTTTTTTTTGCTTGCCAGTGGGCCTGGGGAACCCAGAATGGGATGGAGCCCATTGAATGGGAGAGGTGTGTGTGTGTGTCTTGTATTATTTTTTATTTTTATTTTATTTTCTGTACTGTTTTTATTGCTTGTAAGCCACCTGGAGTCTCTGTGAGCGAGTAGGCGGCTGTATAAATTTTCTAAATAAATAAAAATATATAAACTGTATTAATACCACTTTACAAGGCCTTGGTAAGGCCACACCTGGAATCCTGCATCCAGTTTTGGTCACCACGATGTAAAAAAGATGCTGAGACTCTAGAAAGAGTACAGAGAAGAGCAACAAAGATGATCAGGGGATTGGAGGCTAAAACATATAAGGAACGGTTGCAAGAATTGGGTATGTCTAGCTTAATGAAGAGAAGGACGAGGGGGGACATGATAGCAGTGTTCCAATATCTCAGGGGCTGCCCCAAAGAAGAGGGAGTCAAGCTATTCTCCAAAGCGCCTGAAGGCAGGACAAGAAGCAACGGATGGAAACTACCAAGGAGAGAAGCAACCTAGAACTAAGGAGAAACTTCCTGACAGTTAGAACAATTAACCAGTGGAACAACCTGCCTCCAGAAGCGGTGAATGCTCCAACACTGGAAGTTTTTAAGAAGAGATTAGACAACCATTTATCTGAACTGGCATAGAGTCTCCTGTTTGAGTAGGGAGTTGGACTAGATGACCTCCAAAGTCCCTTTCAACTGTTATTCTATTCTATTCTGTTCTTGTTCATGATTCTATTCTATTCTTCATTTCTCTACTCTACTCTATTCCATTCCATATTTTCTATTCTATTCTATTCTATTCTATTCTATTCTATTCTATTCTATTCTATTCTATTCTATTCTATTCTTCTATTCTATTCTATTCTATTCCTCCGTTCCATTATTCCATTCCATTCCATTCCATTCCACTCTACTCCATCCCATCCCATCCCATCCCTGTTGTGGGATGAATGCGGTGAATGCGTCAACACTGGAAGTTTTTAAGAAGAGACTGGACAGCCATTTGTCTGAAATGGTCTAGGGTTTCCTGCCTGAGCAGGGGGTTGGACTAGATGACCTCCAAGGTCCCTTCCAACTTTACTATTATTATTATTATTATTATTATTATTATTATTATTATTATTATTATTATTATTATTATTATTATTATTTATTACTATTACTATGGCCGTGACCCTTCATCAACCATGCTGGCTGAGGAATTCTGGGAAATGATGTCCACCCATCTTAAAAGTCGCCAAGGTTGAAAAACGGGGCGCTGCGGTTTTGTTCCCAGCTCAGTTCCAGCTTTGCTGCCCTTCTCCAAAAATTCTCCCAAGTGTCCCTCAGTCCCACAAGCGACGGCTGCAGAGATCAACTTCCAAGCAGATAAATATAAGGCAATTTCCATTGAGGGGCAAGGCATTTTTTTTTTTTTTTAAAAAAAAATATTGTTAAAAATATGAAACTAGTTTTATTGCAACTTTTACACAGTGCTGCACTTTCATATACAAAAACAAAGAACCGACCTAGGCTTTGTTCCTTTATATGGTATATACACGGTTAGTAACATAATGAGCATTTTTAAAAAAAATAGAGGAGCTTTGCGAAGGGTTAGGGTCTTAGCAGCTTGGGCTCTTTTTCTCCCAGAAAGCCGAGTCTCTCTCAGTATTTACAGGAATCAAACAATATAGATTCTATTTGCCTCTTTTTCTGCAATATATATATATATGTATATGTATATATATATATTGCAAACTCTTGGGCAGAGTCTGCCCAACCATTTACCGTGTCCACAATCCAATAGTAAGCTTGCATAGACAATTTATTTAGCTTTTTTTCTTTGATTTTCCTTTTTTCTTCTCTTCCTTTCTTTCTGTTTTTGGTGGCTTGGCAGTTTTGGTCTTTTTCTGAAAAAAAAAAAAAAGATACGTTTTAAAATGCCAACTGAATCCCAGTGTGCCTAGCCGCTCACTAATTCACTTTTCAGTTGCAAACTGTTCCACGTATTTAGAAGCACTTAAAAAAACAACCCCAAAAGAACACCTTAATACACGTGTAACTCGTCCCAACAACTAGCAAATCATAGGGCATGAAAGTAAAAATACAAGCAAAATAGGGTGGGGGGGAGAGAACAAGAGGAAAAAGGGAGGGGAAAAAAAAATAAACTATGACTTAATCCAGAACTAAAAAATCTATTCAAAAACATTCAGTCTTTAAATCAACCTTAAAAAAAGATTTCTCTGCTGTGACGGCTGGAACTCGGAGGAACGGTCGCAAGGATTTGAACCCTTTGTTCAGCACCGTTTTTAAGTTTGGACCGTCTCTGAGCACGTGGTCGTTAACTGAGGATCGCCTGTGAATTTGCGTATTTGAATGTGCCGTGGGAGGGAGGGGTACCTTAATCATCGCATCGCTTTCGAGGCTTCCTTGCTCGGTTTCGGCCTCGGCCTCGTTAGATTCCAGCTCTTCGTTCAGGTCCGCATCCACCGACCCCACTCGCCTCGTCTTCGGTGCCATTTGCAAGGAGTAGGGGGTAAGGTGTGTGACTTTATTGTAGGCCCGGGTGAACGCCGATTTCACCTGTCGGGGCAAAAAAAAACCAACGGAGATTTTTTAAGCGTCAGGTTCCGGTTTTTTAGCTCGGCAGTTACTGATGGGATACAAACGGCGTTGCGCCCACTCCTCATTTAGCAAGTAACTGCCTCAGTTAGTTAGCGATCGTTTGCAAATACAACAGTAATACATTCATTTACTGACTAAGGAGCACATTTCCTTTTGCACTTGACAATGCACATCGGCGTAATACTGATGTAGAGGATGGAGGGACTTTTATCTGAATGAGACGGCAGGAACTATCTATCTATCTATCTATCTATCTATCTATCTATCTATCTATCTATCTATCTATCTATCTATCTATGTATCTATCTATCTATCTATCTATCTATGTATCTATGTATCTATCTATCTATGTATCTATGTATCTATGTATCTATCTATCTACAGTATGTCTCTATGATCTATCACCTATATCTCTCTATGTATCTATCTCTCTAACATCTATCTACATCTATATATCCATCCATCCATTTATCTATCTACATTATCTAATTATCATCTCTCTCATCTCTCTTATCTCTCTTATCTATCTTATCTATCTATCTATCTATCTATCTATCTATCTATCTATCTATCTATCTATCTATCTATCTATCTATCTACATCTGTCTATATCATCTAATTATCTTACATCTCTATCTGTATCTATCTTACATCTATCTACCTACCTATCTCTATATATCCATCCATCCATCCATCTACATCTATCTATATCATCTAATTATCATCTCTATCTATCTATCTATCTATCTATCTATCTATCTATCTATCTATCTATCTATCTATCTATCTATCTATCTATCTATCTATCTATCTACAGTATGTCTCTATGATCTATCTATCACCTATATCTCTCTATGTATCTATCTCTCTAACATCTATCTACATCTATATATCCATCCATCCATTTATCTATCTACATTATCTAATTATCATCTCTCTCATCTATCTTATCTATCTTATCTATCTTATCTATCTATCTATCTACATCTGTCTATATCATCTAATTATCTTACATCTCTATCTGTATCTATCTTACATCTATCTACCTACCTATCTCTATATATCCATCCATCCATCCATCTACATCTATCTATATCATCTAATTATCATCTCTCTATATCTATCTATCTATCTATCTATCTATCTATCTATATCTATCTATCTATCTATCTATCTATCTATCTATCTATCTATCTATCTATCTATCTATCTATCTATCTATCTATCTATCTATCTATCTATCATCTACCTACCTACCTACCTACCAACCATCTATCTCTGTTATGTGTTCAATAAGTCTATGGGAAACAATCTTGCACATTATCTGAAATTTCTCCGTGGAAAGTCTACCAGCACTAGGTAAACGCTTACAAAATACGACATTTTTCAACCTTTGCCAATAACATGCAAACGAAAGAGAATGGCAAGTATTTTCCATACTAAACCCCTCTCACGTGAAGTAAAAGACCCCAATAAGCTTAACATCTGCCCCAATAGATGCAGTTTTCATGATGGAGCTCTTGAGATTATTTCCTAATGTTTGGAAACTGGAGGGGGAGGTTTAATACACTGGAAGCAGAGAGCGCCCAGCCTGTTTTTTTCTGAAGAAAAGGGGCGTTGTCTTACCTGAACGCCGTTTCTCAGCACGGAGATGGATAATCCACGATGGGTTAACTTAATCCTCCTGCCCAATCAGATCAAGTCAGCCAAACTTGCCACGCCTGTCCTGGGCCTATCCTTTCCCAGTTTTTGACGAGGACGCAGCACTGGCTGACAGCAAGACGTGTTGGCTCACAGGCTAAC